GCTAACAATCCTAAGCATCTCACAGGAGCATTATTATGACAAAAATTGAAATGGAGCCAAAAAAAGGTGATGTTACATCTATGTAACTATGGGGAGGCAATGGCCTAGAGATATTATCGCTGAACTGTCAATCCAGAGACCCAGATAATGTTCTGGGGACCTGGATTCGAACCCTGCCATGGCAGATGGTGGAATTTGAATTCAATAAATATCTAGGATTAAGAGTCTAATGATGACTGTAAATCCATTGTCGATTGTTGGAAAAACCTATCTGGTTCACTAATGTCCTTTAGGGAAGGAAACTGCCTTCCTTACCTGGTCTGGCCTACATGTGACTCCAGGCCCACAGCAATGTGGTTGACTCTTAACTGTCCTCAGGGCAATTTGTGATGGGCAATAAATGCTGCCTAGCCAGCGACACCCTCATCCCGTGAATGAATAAAAAAAACCAAATGTCAGTGCATTGAGTATAAGCGTTGGGAGGTTATGTTGCAGCAGTACAAGACATTGGTTAGGCCAATTTGTGTGTGCAATTCATGTCTCCCTGTTATAGGAAGGATGTTGTTAAACTTGAAAGAGTTCAGTAAAGAGTTACAAGGATGTTACCGGGGTTGAAGGGTTTGAGCTATAGGGAGAGGCTGAATAGGCTGGAGCCACTTTCCCTGGAGTGTCAGAGGCTGAGGGCTGACCTTACAGAAGATTATAACATCATGAGGGGCATGGATAGGATGAATAGTCAAGATCTTATCCCCAGGGTAGGGGAGTCCAAAACTAGAGGGTATAGGTTGAAGGTGAAGCGGGAAAGATTTAAAAGGGATCTGAGAGTCCAACTTTTTCACGCAGAGGTGGTGCGTCTATGGAATGAGCTACCAGAGAAAGTGGTAGAGACTGGTACAATTACAACATTTAAAAGGCATTTGGATGGGTATATGAATAGGAAGGGTTTTGAGGAACATGGGCCAAATGCTCACAAATTGGACAATATTAATGCAGAAAATCTGGTCGACATGGAAGAATTGCACTGAAGTGTCTGTTTCCACGCTGTACATCTGTGTGACTCTATGACTCTAAATGCTTGTTCCAAGAGTTGGATTTTAAAGAAAGCCATCGAGGAGGGGAGAAAGGTAGAGAGGCAGAGAGATTTGGGCAGGGAATTCTAGACCTTACAGCCTAAACAGGTGAAGGTGAAGATACCAGTGGCTTAAAGGAAGGGATGAATAGTCAGATTTGGAAGAACACAGAGTTCACAGGCTGAGGATCCATTGGAAAAACAAGGAAGAGGGCCTGGTTGGTTGGAACAATGAAGAGATTTTGGGAAAAAGAGTTCAAGAGCATTAGATGAATGGGTCTTGCTGTTAGTTTTGCATGAACGAAAATTTATGGAACATGGAAGATAAGAGGCCGGCAAGCAAGAATGCTCAATTGAGAAAGATTAATCCTGACTATAGTCCTCATTTCACTCATAATTTATAATAAAGTGTTCCTCAATGAAGCAAAATATTTTCTGTTAGATTTGGAAATCTCAAGTTTGTGATATCCCAAATGGATCGAATCCTGCTGGCTCTTCTCCTCTTGTTTTCACCCAGAAACACCGAGTTAATACAGGCCACTTGCCAGTGTGGACTCTGGCTCATCTCCCACTCAGGCTACTGCTATGAGAGTTCAGCTGCCAATGAAAGTGGTCACAGCTGCTGCGTACTGTACTGTAGGCCTGAGCTCCCAGGGGAATCAAATTTCCTGACTGTGGTTTACAGTGGCCAGAATTCTTTCCTTTAGTAGCAAGATTCACAGAGCTGAAGCACTTAGAAGTGGATAAAGGGAATGGCGAAAGTGGTGTGATGAATGCCAGGCAAAACTAAAGGAAAGGCGGAGTGGATGACAAGGAAGAGTGCAATAGACAATGAAGAGGAAAGGAAAGTGGATGCCATTGAAGAGATAAGGGAATGAGAAGAAGAGGAGGTGAAAGGTAATGAATGGAAAGGCAAAAGTTGACATCAATGCAGGGATCAAGGGACAAACATTAAAGGCAATAGAGCCAAACCGCGTTAAACTGTAAGAAAAGCAACAGGAAATTTAACAAGTGGAAATGCGAGAAGTATCAAATTGATCCAGTGGGGGAGGATGAAGAGGATCAATATAATCTACAAATGTAAACTAAAAGAGGCAGTCTCTAGAATATTAGGGTACAATATAGAATCCATGAGTTACTAGCCAGTTATCTTAGCATTAGTGATTGAGACAATAAGGCCCAAGCACTATTCCCTGCATCATCTCACAAGTTACTGCCTGCAACACAAGTAAAGACCCATTTATTCCCACTCTATATTTCTTTTCTATCAACCAATTCTCAACCCATGTCAACATATTATTAATCCTTTGTGCTTTAATTCTGGCCAATAATTTCTCCTGTGGGACCTCATCAAAAGTCTTCTTGAAATCCAAATACACCACATCCACTGGTTCTCCCTTATCTATTCTACTTAGTTATATCCTCAAAAAGCTCCAGCAGGCTAGTTAAACATGATTTCATAAACCTTTTATAAACCCATGCTGATTTTGTCCAATCCTGTTAATGCTTTCCAATTGTTCTGTTAGTATGTATTTTATAACAAATGCTAACATTTTCAGGCAGTCTTTTCAGCAGGCAATGGTTGAGCAATAGTGTTCCCTGCTCAGCGCACAGCCATGGCACTTGACATTTTGTTGACTTTTTTGATGGACTGTAACAGGAACCATGCAAAACCAGTGTCCAGAGTGCAAAAACATTTCAGCCTCACTGATATACTCTTTAAAGTATTGAAATACAAGTTAGAAACAAAGTTTTGATTATTTTTAAGCCATCTAACAATGCTACAAAGAAGTAAAAAAGATCTTAGAAAATGGATTTTCCTTGTAGATGCATGTGCATTCTCAAAGCTGGGAGGTTTGATAGCAGACGTTTCGTCCCCTTACTGAGTGACATCCTCAGTGCTGTGGACCCTCCTGTGAAGCGCTGTTGTCTTGTACCAGTTCGAATTCTATATGGTCTGGTTTTTGCTGCTTCCAGTAGGTACTGTTTCCAGCTGTGCATTGTAATGTTTTTATTTCTGATTTACAGCAGCCACAGTTCTTTCGGTTTTTATTGTGAATCCCTAATGTTTTACAAAGGAGCATGGCTTTAAAAGGTGTATTTTGTCCTTATTTTGAAGAGGGGTTTTAAGACAGAGGTGACCAGCTGTCTATTTGAATCCAATAAAGTAGACAGCTTGTGAGGCCAGAGGTTTTTGTTAAAGTTGGAACAATAGAAACAGCCTGAATGGGTGGGGTCAAGCTCCCCCAGAACCAGGACTTTTAGTTTTAGTTACTTTAGTGGCAAATGCTGGGGCATTGAAACTGGATATGGGAGCTGATTTTCCTCTCTCAGTTACAGCTAAAAGCTGGGGTTCTGTTCTTGCTGCTAGAATTGCATGTGAAACAATCTATTGAACTAAGTTTGCCATCGCCAAGGGTGTGTTTATGGGATGTTATGATATTAGAACAGTCAATGTTTAGTATTTAAATGACCTATTATTCTGTTAAGTCTTCCAATAGAGTTAAGTTATTCCAATTCTCTTTTTTTGTGGTATTTTAACTACAGTATATGAATAAAGAGTATTTTGTTTCAAGACTGGTAGCTTGACCAATCGAAATACATTTGGAATGCAATACCTGGCACGTGTCTATAACGTAAGAAAAAGTTAAGGTCCAGGCTATCTCCTTCATATATTTTGAGGGGGTTTGATCTGGTCTGTAAGACATGTGTATAGGCTTGAAGTTGTGATGTGGTTGAGACCCTTATATCTCAGCATTCACGACTACTGGGAGTGCAAAACCCAGATTGATCACTGATAATGATGAACAAAGCTTTCCAAACATCAAAATTACATGAAACATTGAGATTCCCAAACTTATGGGTTGATTTTAGCTCCTAAAAAGAAAAGTGGGTGTTCTCGGTTTGTGCCACAGGTTAAATTGAAATATTTTGGGGCTCAAATTCATTTTGAACTCACCTCCTTTGGTTTCAACAGGAATGAAAGGAAGGGCAGGAGACCCTGATCTGTTTGCAAGCAGCAACACATCTTCACTTTAATGTCCTTTCTATTTTTAATCACAAGTGGATTTGCCATTCTTCAGAAAATTTGGTAAAAAAGGACAAAAGGTGCAGAATCATTAAGCTAAGTACTTTTGCAGCACTGTTTGTGGGTCAAGAGGAACCAAGTTTCCTTCAGATTCATCAATTGCACAGATCATACCTCCTATATTCCACCCCCTAAATGGAATACCCCTAACCCCACAGCATGACCATCTAAGCTTGCAACCCCCATCGACCAAGCACTTATTCCCTACACACCAAACCCTGCATTCTGAGCCACTCCCAGACCATCTCCCCAGGATCTCCCACCCTTCTGCTCTTGTAGGCTTCAGTGTTGTGATATAGACATCCCATCTGTCAGCCTCAGGAAGGGGATTAATTTAGCCCTCCTTTGGGGAGGCAATGACCTAGTGGTGTTATCACTGGACTGTTAATCCAGGCACCTACGTAATGTTCTTGGGACCTGAGCTCAAATCCCGCCATGACAGTTGTGGAATTTAAATTCAATTTAAAAATATGGAATATGATGATGACCAGGAAACCATTGTTGATTGTCAGGGAAAAAAAAAAACCCATCTGGCTCACTACGGAAGGAAACTACCATCCTTACCTGGTCTGGATGACATGTAACTCCAGACCCACAGCAATGTGGTTGAATCTTAACTGCCCTCTGGGATGGGCAGTGTATGCTGGTCCAGCCAGTGACACCCTCATCCCATGAATGAATTTTTTAAAATCCTGCAACCAAATCCTAAAGGACATTTGGGAAATCTAGTTCTTCCAAGGATCCCTACCTCACAACAGCCCCTCAGTAGACCCCGACATACTCCTGCACCCCCACCATCCCCAGGCTGAAAATTCTTCTTCCCCAAATAGAGAACAACAAAAAAAAATTTTCACTCTTTACTCAAAGTTTGCACAAACAGAAATTCTCATTAAAACTGTCAAACCTCTGAGGGTGTAAAAAGTGCAATCTAACTTCCAGTTTATGTATAAACCATGATGAATGATTGAGTCAAGACCAGTCTGTCCTCTTGGAATAATTGAATAGCTCGTTAAAAGAACCTGCACAGGTACAGTGGGCCAAATGGCCTCCTTCTGTATTTACAACTCAGAAAGAGCAAAGGACTCAAATTATGACATTGGAGCGAAGGGCACCAACTGCACTTTCATTTTTTCCCAGCACATAGAACAGTGAAACCAACAAAACACCGACTGGAGAAATCAATATACAAAAGTAACAGTCAAGCAGAAGAAATGTATTCATTGCAAAATGATCCTTTTGTCATTCATTGGCTGGAGATCCTTCCACTGTCCTGTTGCTGCAGTCAGATGTCCAGTATGTGCAAGTACTCATGTTCTCCCGGTGCATCTACAGAAGAAGGAACTATTAATATTGTATAACACTATGGTTCAAAGAATTACGCATAAAAGGGCCTATTGATAGAGTAAGTAGGGGGAAAATATTTCTGCTGTGTTGGTAACCACAGAAAGCAGATTGACAGCATGTAATTGATGAAATAATCAGGGGCATTTTTCCACACAGTGAGACATCTTGATTTTGAATATACTGTCAGAAAGGCTGGTGGGAGAAAATTCAATATTAACTCTCAATGGGACTGGAATATGCATATGATAAAGGAATGTTTGCAGGGCTTTGGGGAAAGAGCAAGGGTGTGAGATTAATCCGAGAACTCTTTCAAAGAGTTAATGTGGGCAAAATCGGATAAATGGCTTTTTTTGGGGGGGCAAGATTATACAATTTGGGATACCACAACTCACTGAAGGTACTCCCTGTGAAATTAAATACATTACTTGAAATAGTTGGGAGGAAACCTTCCTGCTTTACTCATGATGCTGCAATGATTGATAGAAGGAAAAGTGGTAACTAAGCCAAGATGAGAAATCTTTATAGGAGCAGTGAGATCTGTGTGTCATGCAGTAATCAGTGTGGGAAAATATTTTAGTTTCAAGTTCCCAGTTTTACTTTATTCCCAACCAAAGGCTGGACAATGGACAGTGTGCAAACAGAAATCTCATGGGTACACAGAAGGTACACTCCGCCAGTTAAGCATCCACTTGGTAAAGATGAAAATTATCCCCTATTGTATTTGCCCTGTGTAGTGATTGTACCGAGGTCACCCAGTTGGAACTCACAGAATGTGAGTTCCCTGATTGGGGATTTTAACCTGGTCCAATCAGGGAGCCCTGACTGATAGATAAGAACAGGAGTGTCGGACATCCTGTTCACTCTGAGAGCTGGCTCTGAGGGCGCTGGATCAGTGTCAAGGACTCTCCACATGTAAATAAAGGGTGACTTGATGATGGGATACTGGCCTCTATGGAGTTATGTCACCATGGAAATGTATTCCTGATGTGCAGTAATATGGAGTAACTTTCTGAATGGAAGTTGTTAGAACAGGCACAATGGTAGAGCTAAACACAAATATCCCAGCAGAATTCTATTTGTATGCACATCAATCTGTCTTGTGGAGGCTTAATCTTGCAGAGTGCCATTTCTACTTGCAATTGTCTCCAGCACTACTTTGTTCTGCTACTTTCTAAAGAAATCTTTGCTGGTTAAACATAAGATTTCACAAATACCTCCCAAATCTGTGGTCTCCACTATCTAGCAGATCAAGAGTGAAAGGTGCAATTGGAACACCATCACCATCTAGTCATACACCATCTCGGTTTGATTATCACTGTTCTTTTGCCATAGTGGGGGTCAGATTATCGTAACTTTGGATCTAACAGCACTGTGGGAGTACCTGTGCTTCAAGATGCAACTCACCCCTGCCTTCTCAAGAACATGGTTATATGCATATCATAAGAGCAATTTAAGAAAAACATGTCAGCCAATTTTCTTCATTCTCCTCTGTCTGAATTGCTGCGCATTTTCTGTTTCCCTAACTAAAACTTTTGTCCTCTCCTGGGGAGGGAAAATTCTATTAAGCACAAAGCAAAAAATAAATAGGTGGGGTGTTAGGAGGCAGAATAATCACATAGATCACTACTAGCTCAGTTGCTGGGAATTCACATACTGATGTAATTCATAATAACAAATGAAAATCAATATAGTAGAAAAATATTGACAAATTAAATTGATCTGACTGACACCGACTGTTGCAGAGTGTAGGCATCCTAACAGATATAAATGAAATGTAATCAAATATACTCTCTAGATGAAACATAAAATCTGTAAGTTATCTGACAATTATAAAAACAAGACGAGCAAGAAAGCACAACTGCGAACTGTCTTGATATATGAACTTAAACAGTGGTCTATTGGATTTGTTTTATTTATTTATTAAGACCAGTACTTGAATGCTAGTGTAATAAAGAGAGCAGCATCTGTGCTAAATGAATCAGGTAAGTTGATAAGAGAAATTGGTTTGAGACATGAATTGAAGGATTTTTTTTTCTGGAAAAGCCAAGATCAATCAGAAAACCAGTTCTGCATCTGTTCGGCATGGGAACTAGTGTATTTTGATTTACCTGCAAACTATTTACTTGGATTGCCACACATCAAACTTGTTGCATATCATCAAGAAGAACTCTTCTATGGTACAGACTAGTAAAGTCACCATATCCAGATCGAATGAAGTTGTGGCATAAAATTAACAGGATTTTGCCAGCTTTTACTCTTCCAAATTAGATACCTAATGTTATTTTTCAACCCATTACCTTGCATCAGTTGATATTGCTGTTCTTTCCAGGATAAAGAGCTAATCATTGAACCTCATACCAATAAATGTTGAAGAGCCTTGAAAGAGTAAGGAGCTTTCCCAGTGGCATAGCCCATAATCAATGCCAAACAAAATAGCATAACCAGCCATTCACTTCACTTCTAACTGTGGGACATACTCCAATGAAACAGACTAACAGTCACTACACTCTGAAAAATGATTCTGAGATGTTAAGCCTTCTAATTTAGAAAAGATACAGGATTGTTTTAGTTTCGTGGGACATGGGCATTACTGGCTGACCAGCATTTATTGCTTATTCCTGGTTGCCTTCGAGAAGGTGTTGGTGACCTGCCTTCTTGAACAGCTGTAGACCACATGCAATAGGTTGACCCGCAATGGTCTTAGGGAGGGAATTCTTGGAATTTGACCCAATGACAGTGAAGAAACAGCAATATATTTCCAAGTCAGGATGGTGAGTGTCTTTGAGGGGAACTTGCAGATGGCGGTATCCCATGTGTCTGCTGCTCTTGTCCTTCTAGATGGAAGTGGCCGTAGGTTTGGAAGGTGCTGTCTAAGGAACTTTGGTGAATTTCTGCAGTACTTCTTGTAGATAGCATACACTGCTGCTACTGAGCATCGGGGGGTGAAGGGAGAGGATGCTTGTGGCTGTGGTGTCAATCAAGCAGGCTGTTTGGACCTGGATGATGTCAAGCTTCTTGAGTGTTGTTGGAGCTGCACCCATCCAGGCAAGTGGGGAGTATTCCATCAGATTATGACTAAGGTAAATTGTTCGAGGTGATGGAAGGTTCTTGTGAGCAATGAGTCACAAGGAAAATATTAAGTCGTCTCAAAGAAGGATGGGACGTCAGGGATTTTTTTAGAAGTATAATAATGTTGAGGAAAGATTAATCAGAGAAAGAATTTGAAATGCAAGGTATAAATGGATTCAAGAGTCAAATGAATGGGAACAGAAGGAATTGAGAGAAATGGGGAGAACACAAGTAGATGGAGTAAATATGAGGTTATCTAAACTCTTCTGCCTGCATCTTAACACAGAAAAGCTGCAATCAACTTACCACCATTAGTTTATTTACATACATTGGCTCTCAGACAAGAAAAATTTTGACCTTAAAATTTACATTCTTTTTTTATCAAATACCTCCATGATTAAATACCTCTCATTCTCTGTAATCTCCTTGAGCTCCGCAACTCTGAGATATCTGCGCCCCTCAATTTTGGTCTCTTGAGCATTCCTGATTTAATTATCCCAACAGTTGCTTAAGCACAGAATTCTGATATACTCTCCTTCCAGCTTCCATATCTCAACCTCACTTTCGTCCATCAAGCCACTCCTTAAAATTCATCTCTTGACATAGCTTGTAGTAAGTTGATCCAATATCTCTCTAAGTGACTTAGTGTCATATTTTCTTTAATAATTTTGTTGTGTTATACTTTTGACATTATTACATTAAATGTGCAATATAGATATATGTGTTTCTGTTATGACTAAAAAAATTAATTTGTCTGTCGATTAAAACAATTGTCAAAGCTTTCCATCCTCCATTCATCAGGGCAATTTGCAAGAAACGCCAAAGTAAAGCAAAAACAGCATTTATACTGTATGAAGGGAACATGCTTATTTCATTAGGATAGGTGACAGATATTCTTTGGTGTGTTTCTCAGGGCCATGTCTTGACCAATCAGAATCAACCTGCCTGGTTTAAAATTTAAACAAAACCTGGCAGTTAACTGGGAGATAGAAAGAACTGCAGATGCTGGAGTCAGAGACAACACAGTGTGGAGCTGGAGGAACACAGCAGGCCAGGAAGCATCAGAGGAGCAGGAAAGTCAAGATTATGAAGACTTTGATAGGCAGCAGGAGAGAAGGTATGGGAGAATCCAAAATTAGATCTCATGAAAACAAGTTTGTGAAAAGTAAATCCAATATTTGGAGTTACTTCTTCAATCAGAGTTATTGGAATATGGAATAAAAACCAAAAGAACTGCAGATGCTGTAAATTAGGAACAAAAACAAAGTTGCTGGAGAAGCTCAGCAGATCTGGCAGCATCTGTGAAGGAAAAAACAGAGTTAAAATTTGTTGTTGTTGTTGTTATTGGAATATGGAAGTTGTACTACATGCAGCAGTTGAAATAATGAACATGGGTAGATTTAAGGGAAGTTAGGTAAGCATGTGAAGGAGCATCACAGAATTATCAGTGCAAAACAAAGCCATTCAGCCCATCGTACTTGCACTGGCCCTGTTATCTAGTGCAAAAGAAACCCTCCAATGTCCTCTTTAATGCCTCAATTGAACCTGCCTTCATCAGATTTCCAGGCAGTGCATTCCAATCCCTAGCTATGAAAAAGTGATTTTTCCCACATCACCCTTGCTTCAGTTGCACATCACCTTACGTTCTTGTTTCATTTACAAGTAGGAACAGCTAACCCTATCTACTCCACCCAGCCTGTTCATGATTTTCAAAGCCTCAATTGGACCTTCTCTCAGCCTTTCTCTCTTCAGGGACAACAGTCCCAACTTCTCCATCTATCCTCAAAACTGAACTTTCTTGTACCCAGAACCACTCTAGTAAATCACTTCTGAGCTCTCTCTCCAATGCATTTGCATCTTTCCTATAATGTGGAGCCAACAATTGTACACAATTCTCCCCCTCACATCAGCACACATCACCACCTTCA